TAACCTTAATTTCATCATCAAGAGGATTCAGGGAATCAAGAGGATTCAGAGTATTCAGAGGATCAAGAGGATTCAGAGAATCAAGAGAATCAAGAGAATCAAGAGGATCCAGAGGATCCAGAGAATCAAGAGGATCCAGAGGATCCAGAGAATCACCAGAATAGCTTGATAAAATCTACTCGTGAGGATACATTTAAACTTGATGATGAAATTAAGGTTATATTTTCGAGTGAAAATGAATCCAAAAGAGCGGGCTTGATGGGCCCCAAGCTCCTGTTTTGCTATCGTATCCTTAAGAAGATTGGCATGGTAGGTTCCATACCGACTTGTATTGGTCTTTGGGTTTCGTGTACTCTTGTCTTTTTCTTTAGCGACGAAGAAGCTAAAGGAAGTCTTTGTTTAGTACTCACTGTGATCTCGTCTTTATTCTCGATGCTTCAATATCTTACTCAAGCACTCAAAATCCTCTCTCAAAAAAAAGGTAAGCTTACGATTACCTTTCCAGCCCTTCTTCTCCCATGTGCATCCAATATTTTTCTTCTAATGCAACTGATTTCTGCAAATAGCATTCTTGAAGCGGTTCCGTACATTATCAGCATTTTTCTTCAATTGATAATTATTTTTAGCAAGGCCCTCTATGAGTTGAAAAAAAAAGAGGTTGAATTACCGTCTTTCGGTGAATAAACCGTCACAATGATCTTACTTGATAATAGTAAGCTACTTTTCACTTTCTTAATAAACTTTAATAACAAACAAAAAGCCAAGAAATAGTTATCTTTACGCTTGAGCATCAGTGTGAGTTTTTACAAGATGCATATTTCCTCGGCAAAGCCAACTGTTGAATTCAATTCGGCTGCGTGATTTCGAATTTATTGGTGATGGCGATTGCATGCAAAATGTTTGGCATGGGCTAAAATTGCAATTTTTTAACGTAATTTTTAATTTACTGGCCGTCAATTTTATTTGTTTAAACTCTGTCCAATTGAATGCAACTTCCTTGTAATGGAGAGTTTTGACTGCTTATTTTTCATTTCCTCAGTAAATGAAATTCAATACTATTGCTATACTATTAGCCGTATTTTATCTTTCACAAGTGCTCGAGGGAAAGGCTCAAAAAAAGAGAAAAATCAAGTCACCGACCCAAGAAACTCCCATCAGCTCCGGTTTTGCTGCGGATCCCATCAGCTTAAGTTTTAATTCGGATTTGAAGAAACTTCAGGATGAACTCAATGCTTCTTCAAGTATTAATGGAAAATATGAAACACCCATATTTGATAGTCCAAAATATGACATTTCTCCCGCAGTTAAAGTATCGTTTGTAGAAACTCAAAATCCGGTCTCACGGTCTAAAGCAGTTCGAAATCTGGAAACACAATCTGACATAATTGGCGACCCCATTTCAAAATATGGTGGATCTTATAATACCGATGCACGTCCTAAAATAACTAACAATAGTATTGCACCGCTTAAAGCGCTACCTAATCCCTCTGCTTTGACCGAGCTTTCATCTTCTTTAAAGAAATCACCTGCCAATGATTCTATTGCATTGCAAAGTTTTGAATTTGCACCTTTAGTGGATCTTGAAAGAAATAAGTCGAATGTGAAGGATAAAACTGACGACATCCCCAAAATATTTAACGATGGATTTTTCCTCAATAAGAATCTCAATACAGCCAAAGTGCCATGGTATACAGAAAGCTTTAAGACGTTATTCGCGGCGTTAAATGAACTTCAAACGACTCATTTTATTTTTTTGCTTCCTTTGCTGATTGAAAAGTACACGTTGATCCTTCTTACTTTTATCAATGACTTTTTATTAGAGTACAGTCTTTCAAACCAATTCACCGCATGTACATTGTTTCTCATCTATATAATTTCTTTTGTATCTGTTGTCGAGTGTTGTTGCTCCGCCAAAGATACATCTTCAACACCAGACGATGAGGTCAAGAAACGCGAGAAGAAAAAGAAAAATGCGGAAATATCATCATCGTCATCGTCATCATCATCATCATCAGATTCTCAAGATTCATCATCGTGGTTTACATTTGGAAATTCTGCGGACGATAAAAACAGTAAGAAGTCCCGTGATAAAAAAAAGGCTACCAAAGATTCTTCTGAATAAATTTTTTGAATTTGTAAAATGGTTTACCCAGTAAAATTTGTTAACCGGATCATTAATTATCCGGAGGCTGCAGACTTTTCAACATTAAAAGACGAAATTCATAGGCTCGTTAGCGATGAACTGGGCATTTGGAGTGAAATTCCATCTTCATGCTCCTCGTTATTGATATCCAAGTGTGCTGGGGGGCTGTCGAATATTGTTCTTAAAGTTGAAAATCATGCCCAAATCACACCAATATCGATTTTGGTCAGGCTATTTGGAACCGGAAAGTCAATGTGCTCTTCCAGACAAAGATTGGAAACATTTTGGATGTCTTTGCTATCTGAAGTTGGGAATTGCCCCAAGGTCCTGCTTGAATTCGCAAATGGGCGCATAGAGACATTTCTAGAAGATTATTTTACACTCACCCTGGAGGATATCAGATCAGACTTTTATTCGATCAAAATCGCGAGGGAACTTGCTGCGATCCACAAGCAAACAGACAAAATTTTGAAAGGGACCGTTGAATTCCTTGATGGCAATGCTGGCTCTCTCTTTACGGTCGACTCTATCTTAAAAGACATTGGTTTGCTTGGAAATTCTTTTGAACAGTTTTTTGGATCCAAATATTCGTCATTCAATCCGTTTCTCCTTGATCTTCTCGGTGAAATCTGTATTTATGACGAGAAATTTAAAGGGATTTTACATTTTATTACATGCACCCTTCGAGAGATATCCAAGGACCAAAAGGCAATCGTTTTCATACACGGAGATCTGTTGAATGCCAATATAATGGCATCCAACAGTCATCCAAAAAGGATCGCATTTATAGACTATGAATATGCTGGGTTTGGAAGCAGAGCATTGGACATTGCCAACCATTTTTGCGAATACATGAATTGCTTTGCCACTTTGGAACCGTATATGCACAACTACCACCTTTTTCCTGATGATGCCCGAATTTTCGCCTTCATAAACACCTACATTAGAGAGTTGGATGCGGAAATGGCCGATTTCGCACTATCAGAACACAAAGCCCAAGAAATCATTAACGAAGTTCTTTTTTTTTCGTGCGTCGTTTCAATTAGATGGACATTGTGGGCGCTTTTTCAATTCAGGATGAGAATAGACGCATTGCCGCCCTCGAAATTGCCAACCAAGCTTTCTGATATTGACAACCTTGAAAGCCCATTTTTCTACATTGCCTATGCCAAGTATAAGTTTAGACACCTGGAAAAGCTGGTTTCCCATCCCTCTCGTCCCAATCCAATACTGAAGGTCAAAAGCTCGCTGGCGTCGGGCACGACGATGGATGTAGTTTTCCCATTGAGCTACCTTAATTTTTAAAATGTTTTAGTTCATAAATTTTAAATTATGTCCTTCATTGTTTGCAAATGTCTTTCCGAGAACGATGCCATGCACAATGCGGCGTTTGTAAACTCTGCAGATTCAAAGGCAAACACAAATTGTGTGTTGATCGAAAATTGCTATTACCTGTCATACAAGTAGGATACTTTTTTGCAAGCTTTTAGGATTGACGACAATGTCCCTAAAGGGCAGATCGGGCTCTCCGTTTTTCACAGGGAATGGGCCAATGTCTCGCTCAATCAAATCGTCAAGGCCAAATTCATGGATCTGGAAGCTAGCCTTGGATCTTGCGTGTACATTTCAAAAATCATCTTGGAGGTATGTTTGTGCCAATTTATGTGCGCTAGCTCAAATTTTGGAAAAAGTCCGCCTCCAATGACATTCCATTTTCCACCGACGACATATCGACGTGTTTTGTCTCAACCTTCCCCTTTAAAATCATATCTACATCGCAGCCAATGATATTTGATTTTCAAGGAAAATTGCTCGTTGCCACTGCAAGCAGCATTGAAACCAGCTCTCTTAAAAACATAACCGGATTGGATCGTAAAGCCGATTCTTCCTTTTCCACGGCTCAAATTGGTATATTACTTCCGCAATCCTCTGTATTTTTTGTCAAAAGCCCGCAGTCTCAAATCAAACTGACAGGCTCGTCCTCCTCCACCATTGCTTCAAACAGAACGCTTCTCAAGCCAAACTTCAAGTTTGAGGATTTGGGAATCGGTGGGCTGGATGAAGAATTTACCATCTTTTTTCGACGCGCATTTGCCTCGCGAATCTTTCCTCAAATGATAATTGAAAAACTAGGCATCAAGCATGTGAAGGGCATTTTGTTGTTTGGACCTCCTGGGACAGGAAAGACTTTGATTGCCCGCCAAATAGGTACAGCTTGTTGTCAAAGTTTTAGGAATTATGTTGCAAGCCCGTGAACCGAAGATTGTAAATGGCCCTGAAATTCTGAACAAATATGTGGGTCAATCGGAGGAGAACGTTAGGAACCTGTTTAAAGATGCCGAAGTCGAATACAAAGCAAAGGGAGACGACTCTCTACTGCATATTATCATATTTGACGAGTTGGATGCCATATGTAAGCAAAGAGGCTCCAAGGCAGACAACACTGGCGTTGGTGATTCCGTTGTCAATCAGCTGTTATCCAAGGTACAAATCAATCCTTGCCTCTCTATTTAGTTGGATGGTGTTGAGGAATTGAATAACATTTTTGTTATCGGCATGACAAACCGCCTCGATTTGATAGACGAGGCACTTATCCGGCCTGGAAGATTGGAAATTCAATTAGAAATAGGTCTTCCCGATGAGGAGGGTCGATTGCAAATCCTGAACATCCACACAGAAAAGGTAACCTTTTCAAAAGCATTGACCGACATAGATGAGGGCAAATAATTTTCTCAATGCCGATGTGAATTTGGCCGAAATAGCCAAATTGACACCCAATTTCACAGGTGCTGAGATAACGGGACTGTTGAAAAGTGCATCTTCATTTGCCTTTTCTCGATATTTCCAGCTAAACTCATCACCCTCCATTTCGCTAGCCGAGGCAGAAAAGATCAAAGTTACCAGCGAAGATTTCATGAATGCCCTGGAAGAGGTGCATGCATCTTATGGCTGTTCGTCGGATCAGCTGGAAATATTTCTTTCAAACGGCTTTTGTATATATTCCGATGTCGTTAAAGTAAGCTGCATGTCGTTTTCATAAAGGATGCGCTTAATACGATGTCGACGGTTATCAAGCAACTTAGAGAGGATCCAAATACAAACATGCTCAGCGTGCTTTTCCATGGTATTTTGTGTAGCGATATTTGTAGGCGACGCGGGAACCGGAAAATCGGCATTGGCCGCATATTTGGCGTTGCAAAGCGAATTTCCTTTCGTTAAGGTTGTCCAGGCCTCTTCGTTTATTGGGCTCAATGAGCTGCAGAAAGCGGTTGTTCTTGGAAAAGTACTTTTGGCCCTTAACTTTAGGTGTTTGATGATGCCACCAAGTCTCCGCTGAGCTTAATTCTGCTGAATGATATTGAAAACATTCTAGGTGGGCGGCATTTCATATTTACGATTTAGATTTTGCCTCCGTTGGTCCCAGGTTTTCCAATAACGTTTTACAGGCTCTTATTTCGTTGCTGGTAAAGCCGCCAGGCAAGGTATTGTCGCCGTTTGAATTTAATTTTAGTGCAAAAAACTGCTTGTCTTTGGAACTACCAAGCGGCTTGATTTTCTGCAGGACGTCGAAATAGGACATCAGGTGTTTTCGGTCCTGATTCCGGTGGCTCCTCTCCGTGACGCTGCCTCCATTTTCAATGTAATCAAGGTAAGCCATGCACGTCTGTCTAACGCTTCGCAGTCGGCCGATGTATTTACCGCACCACAGCTGGATAGCCTGGATGGGTTTTTACACTCCAAGCCAATGATTATTGGAATTAAGAACTTGTATCATTTGGTACGAAGAGCAAATGTCATCGATGAACATGCAAAGGTGCAGGAATTTATTCGGTCGCTAGAGCCGTTTGTGTTTGATTTTCCAAAGTAATTGCTACTCAATAAAAGGCCCAAACTTTTCGAACTTTAGTGAAAAGTCCAGAATTGACTGGGTTGTAGTTAAACACCCGGAACTGATAATATCGATCGATTCGTCAAAGTACTTGTCGATGTTTACCATGTCAATGCCACCAGAAGCCTCAATTAAAATTTCCGGGTTCTGGGACTTTAAACGAGCGGCGAGAACGGTACAAACTTCCGGCGGGAAATTATCCAGCATAATGATATCCGGTTTGGACGATAAAATGTCATCAAATTCKGAAACTGACGACAGTTCAATTTCAATCTTCAAGAACGGTCCGTGGAGCGATCTCAGTTGGGATACAGTATCTTTTATAGAAAATCCTTACAATATCGATCAACAAGTTACCCTTTTGCCTTAACAGATGGATATGATTGTCCTTCAACATAACAAGATGAGATAGGTCATTCCTGTGCATCGATATACCTCCAACGGCCAAAGAATACTTCTCGACCAATCTAAATCCTGGAGTTGTCTTTCTAGTTCCACAAATATGTCCCCTCCAGCGATGACCCAGCTTTAGTTGGTTTAAATTATCTGCTCTACCAAATAAAGCATCAATGCGAAACTTTGTAGCAATCCCACTAGCACGGGACAATATGTTTAGCGCAGTTCGTTCCGCATGTAAAATATATGAAGAGGGCCCTTCGACTGTTCCGATCGCAGCGAAAGCATCGATCTTGTCGCCTTCGCTGTAATTCCAATTGACCCTTAAAATATAAACCGATGCAGGTACTTGCATCCAACAAGATCGAACACAGCATTAACGAAAGGAATACCGGCCAAAATACCCTATCATTATTAGACGCTAAGCTGCCTTTGACTTTCCATAAATGTATGCTGTTTGATGTTCGTTATTGCAGCCAAAGCGAGAAGAAAAATCATACAGATGAGCATCTTCGGACAGCCATCTTGAGGCCTGTTCTTTAAGAACAAAGGGAGGGCAAAACAGAAACATTAAAATTTTTGATAAACTTTAAATGGAAAGAGTTTCGTGCATTGTAGATGAATTCATGCAATCATTGCAGGATGACTCGGATGCATTAAAGTAAGTTTGGAGAAAGTCAACGATAGCACGATAACATTGGCCATCATTAAGGCCAAAATTTTGTCGGAGGATTCATCTGAAGAGGTGAAGAGAGTAGTTGAAATCGAATGGCCTTCCGTAAAGGAGGTAATAAAAGCGAGGATGGAGGTACTGCTTGATTGGATGATTCAGATTTTAGGAAGCATTAGTAGCAATATCTAAAAAGCCAACACCACGCCCAAGCGATGTGCCTGTTCAACCACAACCAACTATTCCTAGTAAGCGACGCTCTATATCAACCGAAAGGCCAGCTTCTTGCAGCACCAAATCGGATCATCCAAGCGCCAAACGAAGCTCTTCAAATAGTAGCTCTCGAGACAGCAGATCTTCAAAGACAGTATCCACAAGTAAAGCAAAGGACCACGAAAAAACCCTTGAAAAGTTGAAATTTTACATTTCCAAATGCGGCGTCAGAAAGAATTGGAAATCCGAGCTAGATGGACTGCCACCGCTAAAATGCGTTGAAAAATTGAAAGGCATTTTGGCGGATTTAGGGATGACGGGAAGACCATCTCTAGCGCAATGTAAGGCAATAAAAGAAAAACTGGAATTACAAAGAGAACTCGACGACCTGATTTCTTCTGAAACAGAAAGGCAGGACAAACCATGTGCAAGCGAGGAAGATGCCAGCAATGACTCGCAAGGCTTAAGCGACGGAGAAACTCCGCCCAAAAAGGTATCGACTTTATTTTATGGTAGAATTTGTATCATCATTTATTATCGATTGGAGAAACAGAATAAATTTTACACACCAAAATTTATGGATTTTAATGCCAGTCTGAATTCTTCCCTACAGGTACAATATTGCCTTACCTGGGCTCCCCCCCCCCTTGGCCCGCTATGCTTTGGTGAAGATTTTTTTGTTTATTGATTGCTTTCCATGCTACTTAAATTGCTAATCTTTAGTCAATTGGCGAATTTCTGCCCATTTTGTCCAAATTACTTGGGCCAGCAACAAGGGATACCGTGTCATCGGTGGAAAGCTCGCAGCCCGAGTTTTCATTCGACGATTTTGATGATGTCTTATCAGCCTCAACTCAAACTTCGGTAGGCAGTGACGAATCCAATGACCCTTCCCTTTTACTGAAAAGCCTCAATTCCCACCTTTTACACGTTAGCGAGTTTATCCAGAAAATCGATGAAAATTATTTGGCTTCAATTGGGAATGTACCTTTGACAGCGCAAAGCATGCTTACTCATGATATTTATTCGCTTGAAGAGGATATTGCTATCCTTGGGGCCATAAAACAGCAACTTGTCAACTCGCTAAATAAAGACACAAATCTGTAAACATCTTCGGTTTAAAACCCGAGCTGAGCCATACAAAAAGTTGGTGTGAATTGTTTATTGGCAATGAGTGCTACATTGCGGATTGATAATGCTGGGTGGGATTTCCCTCTGTAAATGCCTTATGGCCTTCAATTGACAATTTCGGATAGTGCCTGAAATGTGAAGAATGGAGATGGAACAAGCAGCTTTGAAAGTAGAAATAGAAGCATTCTTCCCTTGGGGGCCGACTATACACGTAAGCAAAGAAAGGCACGCCCAAACTTTACGATACTCCGCTCTGGACACACGCAATATGCCGACCTGCGAAACGGCATCAAAGTATTTTATTGACAACGAGGGAAGAGTAAGAGCATAGCCGTGATTTCCCAGCATTATTACAAGCGAGTTTTTGAGGGTATACAGAAAATCGTGCTGTGTGATCGGATTTGCAGCCGCTTGGCCATTGATCCGAAATAGAAAGTATCTATTTTTGAATCGGACCATTGAATAAAATTTAATTTCCATTTAATTAGATTGATTGCGTAAATGGATGGTACACCTACTATTTCCTTCTCCAGCATCGGAAGTAGTAATGCCATAAATGGGGTAAGCAATGGCATTCTAGAGTCCATTTCAAAGTTTACAAATGCATTCGCATCTCCTGCCCCAAACGAAAACGATAACGGGGAAGAGGAGGAGGACGAGTTAAATGTGAAGGAGCCGATTTCGTCCAACTCGTCGCCAATATTGACGGAACCATTCTTCCCAGGCAACGCTAAATCCATGTCTTTTGAGCCGAATTATTCATCAATTTTTTTCAATCCCGATGCCTCCAATTCTATCATCGAAGACAAAATAATCCAAGATCATTCGAAAAAAGAAGTCGAGGTTACTTTGACCCGTCTCATTAAGGCGATTGAAAAGCTTCAAAAAGACATTACCATGATTAATCGGATCATCTCCGCACCCCCATGGTACATTCGAATCTACAATTTTCTTAAACAATCTCCGAACAAGCTTTTAATAAAGGTAGGCGCTACTATTATCTCAACTCCAGATTTTAATTGGAAGCTGCAGTACTTGTCTCATTTGGAACTTGTTAAAATATGTTGTTTTTATTCAAAAGAGAAATATATAATTAAATTTATATACATACACATATAGCATAGTATCGTATAAGACAGAGTAGGATAGGATAAGATAAGATAGCACATGATGGGATGGGATAGGATGGCGTAGCTCGACACCATATAGATTAATGGCCATTACTGGAATGAATAGTTCTTATTTGCGGAACATAAAAGATCCCTAAGTTTGGTGTCAAACGATGCTAAAATAGCACGGTCTGGACAAGAGGGATCTGTTTCCTTGAGAAGGCTATTAATTAGGGTCAAATATTTGCTCAGGGTTATAAGCGGTCGAGACAGAATCTCAAACAAAAGCTTCGATGCATCTGGGCCCAGTTGGGCAACGCAAAATTCCCTAAAAGAATGGCAGTTTTCGAGCGTGCGTTTGGCGGTAATATTTGCTCGGTCAAGAAGCTTAGCATAGGGAAGAAGAATATTCTCGATTTTCTGAAACGCAAGCACAAATCTTGGCGAAATTAGCGCGCGTTGATGCTCGCCCTTGACATCTTCTACCTGTGCATTTGTGATGAAGCCCACTAGCATCGCAACAAGCTCGATCAAAATCGCCCCGCTAACCGACATCACGTCTTCGTAATTTAGCTGTAAATCTTGCAGGTCATAGATGGAAAATTCGGTTTGAGGGACATAGCCTTTGCAAGAGCCCAGTGTGTTCGATTGATTAAAAGAGGGGAAAAACTCTTCTCTTGCTCCCTCAATGAAAAACTTCAAGTCAACGCAGCATTTAAAATTGGTCAGTTCTGTGTTATAAAGCTCATACAAAATATGATATCGTGGCGAGGTAATCATACTGGATTTTATAATCATAAAGTGGCCCCAAAGCGCCTTCTTTTTAAGGAAATTCTGGCATTGGGGGCCATCATGAACTGTTGGCATATGACCTAAAAAATCGTTCGTATTTTTAATAACGTGCGTTGAGGTTGGGTTGTTGGATATCGGAGAGCTTGTGATCGCCTTTAAATTGGAAGGAGCATGAGATTGTGTGGTCCTAGAAAAAGAAGATGTAGAAGACGAGGAAAAGGAGGAAAACAGACGACCGTCATCGGCCTCCGAAGACTTTGACGATTTTTTCTTGAAAAAGCCAGACACTTTGCCCAGAAAAGAGACCGAATTTTTAATTTTCGCTTCACCGTGCTGTAAAGATAGCGGTGACTGCTCAGGAGAAGCTCCATATGAAGAGGGCGATCCTTTCGCGCTCTTGTCCGATCTTCCATTGTTATAACTTGAGTAATTATTAAGAACAACACCTTTGACGTCAGCGCCGCAAATATCATGCAAAAGAAAGTACCTGTTGGGAGGCACTTTGACATTAGCAGAAGGTTTTTCCTCTTTTACAGTTCCAGTTGCAGAGAGCGGAGACTCTGGAACATTCTCGATCGATCCTAGCAGTTCAACGAATGGATTTATCGGCAAAAGGTCTTCTCCATCTTTACTTTTGAACTTCATTTCGCCATGATCGTAATCATCGGCATCGTAAACTGTCGTGCGCTCAAGGTCTGCAACCAACTCTGGGATTGCTATCGTCGATGAACTGTGGGAAGCGAGAGCCATTGAGATTGAAAAAGACCATGCCAAGTTTGTAAATCCTACAAAAATCGTTACCTAGAAACCAATTTTGCACGAAAATGATCATCATCCGATTTAACGGAAAGTTAGCAAAATGGCTTGTTCGCCGCGCAATTTAATAAAGCAAGATCAGCAAACCGAGAAAATTATGGCTGCAACTCGAAAAGGCCCGAAATACTTTCAAAAGCAGCTAATTTTTAATTGATGAACGTGCTAGCAGAATTTAGAGCACATGCTGGCCCAATTTTGTGTATAGCGTTTGATAATGAGGGAGAGTATCTTATATCTGGAGGCCAGGATAAATTAATAGCTTTATCTCAAGTTTCCCTTGCCAAAAAAATAACCACGTTTACGGGACATACTGCGGATATATTTAGTGTGGTTTCCTCCTCCGATCATAAATGCATCTTCTCCTCTGGAGTTGAAAAATATGTCTTTATTTGGGATGTTTCCAATAGAAGAATACTTCGACGCCTATCTGGACACGGTGGCCCCATTAACGCACTTTCTTTATTTCCGCATTCTGACGAAATTTTGGTTTCCGGATCGTTTGATGCCACGGCTCGCATTTGGGATCTTCGATCCTCCCAGCGGGTCCCTCTTCAAATCCTGGATGAAGCAAAAGATTCAATAACATCAATCAGTACCGGCCATTCTTCCATAATAACAGGGTAATGTCGGCGATGATTGGCTAACGATTAGGTCTGCAGACGGATATGTTAGAAAATATGACATAAGAAAAGGCCTGTTAGATCAATATAAAACATTTGATTTCAGAGACAAACCGATTTCCGTTTCTTGCGTAACGTTTTGTGAGGAGTCGGATACCGCGATTGTTAGCTCCTTAGACAATTGTGTCAGAATACTTGACCTTGCGTCTGGCGGTCTTCTGGCCTCTTGTTATGGACATTCAAACAAATCCTTGAAAAGCTCACATATTCTACTCGAGCCGGAAGGGAAATGCATCGTTTCTGGCTCTGAAGATAATTACATTTATGGATGGAATATAGAGGAGCTAAAAGGCCCAAGTTCCAATGATGATGGCGATAATTTCTCGTTTAAAAGCGATCATTTTGGCTATCCGACGCTTCAACTCGCAAAGGATCCCAGGCGACCTATTTTTGCAGGTGGCTCTTTAGACGGAATCATTCGCATAATAAAGTGTAATTAATTTACGAGCCATCGGACTTATCCTGCTAGCAGCACGCTTTTTTCTGGAAAATGGCCCTTTTTGGTCCACTTCATGGCCGTAGGAAAGCTTTTAAAATCAAAGGTGAATTGGTAATTTGAATTGCTAAACCCCCTCCGATGAGCTTTTGTTTTGGAGATCAGATTGAAGAGCATTCACGGAAAGTACTACGGAGCCTAAGTAGCTATCAGATTTACGCCACAACTGTGCTAGAACGGTACTACACAACTTTGAAAGGCCTCCACAGCAAATATCTTTCTGATTTTTTGCAGAGCTATGCTGATGAAAAGAATTGTATAATCAAAAACCAGGAATTTCTGAATGCCATCGTCGCCAACCACATCGACTCGGACTCAATGTCTCACGACTTTGATAGTGTCAATACCGAATACCCAAAAAGCTTGCTCAAGCAATTCATGAGAGAGTGGAGCACCGAGGTACCTTAATGGCTATCTTTCTCAGGGAACCCAAGAACGAAAAGAATCCTTTGGGCTAATTTTAGACACTTTGACAACGATGTTTCCAACACAAGTGAAAAGGTTTTCGCGACTCAAACAGCATTCATCATTAGGAGCCAGATAAAGGTATTGGTATT